CGGTTACATTTACCGCTGTTTTATTTCAATTTCTTAATATCAAAGCAGAAAGAAAAAAAAAATGAACCAGCTCTTCTTTTTTTTTTTTGATCTTAAACTTTAAAATTTTTTTACTGCATTGCATATAGTTAAAAAACCAACAGAATAAAAGCACCGCAGTGTAACCAACAAATCGTATATGTGGTAGATGAATTTCTTTTCACTGTACCACTGTAACCATTATTCTGTGCCTTTTTTTTTTCTTCAACTTTACTTTCCATAATCAGAATTTAAAATTTTTTTTGGTTTTAACGTTAGGTCTCAGAGTGGATAAGTCAGAAAATTTTTGTGGTACAATGTTATCAATGAATACATCAACTTTATATTTTAGAAATAATGCAGAGTGATAAAAAAGTTTTTTATATTGTTCAACTCTGAAAACAATTGACTGTTATCGAACTGCATCAGTGGTTGCAACGCAACAATCAGTCAAATACAACAGTAAACAAAAAATGGCTCAATGTACAAAACAATGATCTTTCTTCCCAGTAAACTAGTTTGAAAAAAAAAAAAAAGCTTAATTTATAGATTAAGTCTGATGATTTGGCAGTAATCCAACGAGTAAAGCACAGATCATCGCCTTTTATCTTTGTAGTAAAGACTGTATTTATTCCTGTCGCTTATATCCTCTCTCTCTCTCCAGTTACCCGAACAGCAATCCTACTTCTGAATTCTCTGCCAAAAAATGCTATAAAATTAGGAAGTGATTTCAAAAATGCTTACTTGGCTTATGGAAATCATCAATACTTACCTGGTTAATCAGTTAATTTTCATAACATTCCTGATCTTTTTGTACAGCTATAGTCTGGGTACGTCTAAGAGACTGCAGCAAATGGGGGTATCATAAGCCGTTTTTATACTAAAGCGATCACTAATACTGTGACACCTTTGAACCATCAACACTGTTATGAAAACAAAAGCAAATTTGTCAATAAAAGATGTCAGTGCTTGTTATTATTGTAAAATAGACTAAAAATTTAGACTTTTTAACTTATTTCTATCTTAACTGAAAAAATTTTGGACTTTCCATAAAGCTTTTAGTTGAACAAATTTGTTTGCATCCGGAACAAGCTTGTGTAA